AATGGTTTCAGGCCAGCACTTGTCATACGCCCTCGTGAGTCGTCTTGACGCTCGACCGCCAGATCTCCATCTAGAAGGCTGAGAAGATTAGCGAATCTATGAGCAGTAGTATAAGCGCTTGACAGAAATTAAATTTACGAACAGGAGAAGTTTATCGCTCTGCAAAAGATCGCTATCAAAGTATGAGTCTACCTGATAATGCAAAACCTGCAAATGTTGGATGAGACTTAGAGATGGTAACGCCTGGCGCGCTAAAACAATTGTGCGGTGTTGAAGAATTGTGTCAGCAAATGTTTTAAAATGCTGGCCTAGATCACGGCACCGCTAGCTGCACATTACATCTGAATAGGTGACAAGTCGAGCGCTAGAGTTAAATCGAGACATTGGATGTTTAAGCTAATGCACTCGAAACGTCATCATGTTCAAAAGTCCATCTTGAAGCATGGTTGTGGTCTGTTAAGCAGCCGTCTTTATGTGCTGCATAATGTTTGAGCGTTTGTTTATTTTTGTAATCCTGTAATTCTGATCGTGATGACTTCTACATCATTTTTTGGCTGAAGCCGACAGAAAATGAGTCCTTCGACCGACAATGTCTTTTTAGATAAAGGCGCTCATGTTTACGTCTCGACGTGCAGGAAGTTCGATGGCTGCATATGAAAACGACATTTACTGATTTGGATTACAATTTGTCTGTCAGGCATAGAATGAATCAAGGCTGCCAGGTCAGCGCCTATACATCAAGTGAGCTCTGAGAAAACGATACAGTCAGAACGCAGGAAGCAAGACGACTGGCGTAGAAGTGAATATAATCTGTCAGAATCTTAAAACGCCTTATCTTGTAGAGGACCTATCTGGGATGCTCATACGGCCTGATGCTTAAATATTCAGCTTCACGATACTTCTCGTATTCCAAGACGATAAAATCGTTTGTGGTCACACTATTAGCCTTTTCGTCAATGGGAAAGTGTGTTAAAAGTTCATGCGGCTGGACATTTCTATCACTCCATACATCAAAAATCGCATCAAGAAGACGCGTTGCGCCAGATTTTAATTTTGCTGGATCATAAGACCCCTTAAGAGCTATGGCGGCCAATCTTGCGAGGTCCCACAAATTATCTGCCTTCACTAACTGAGGCTCAGGCTGTAAGAGAATGATAAAGTGACTTATAGTGTTCAATTTTATGATGGAAATGTTGATATCGTCATCCTCTTTGAATTTCATCCGTGTGACAATCACATTTGCAGATATTTCTTCCTCCTTCCAATAACCGAGAAGCTCACGCTGCATCGTCGTCGCAAATTCTTTTGTTACCGGCTCAAGCTTTGCAATTGCAAGCGCCACAGTCACTTTATCATATCCAAACTGCTCTAAAAATTCCTGAATGGCAAGGTATGGACGACTCGGAAAAAAATGAGCAAAATACCTACGAACAATCTCCAGTTTTCCGCTCGTTAATGCGTCATAAACGTTGTTGCCTACGCGGAGTCGATCCCATACTAAATCAACAGGTACATTAAGCCAAATGCGAAACAAAGCCGATTCTAAATTATTGACAACGTTAGCATTTTCCACAAAGGATTTTGCTTTACTTAATTGCTTCACCAAGTTGCCTTCTCCACCGAAATGCTTTGTCAAAATGTTCACTAATTTGTTGTCGGCGTAGTCACTTGGCAACGCTTCATTTCTATACTTCTTGAGGCCAAGCAGTATAATATACTCTTTCAGCTCGTCAAATCTTTCAATACGTATAGCTGAAGCAAGATCGTCGCCAAATTGTAGCAGATCTAAAACGTTGTTAATAGACATTCCTTTACTCACCCACACTTCACGTTGTATCTGCAACAGATGCTTCATCATGAGCTGCTTATAATCTTCTCTCTCTGCCAGACCACGGAGCTTGTCGAGCACATTGTTGTGTCCATACTTTTTTAGAAATGGCACGATTGGCGAGAGTAATCTCTTAGACTTTTTATCTCGATTTTGCTTTAAGCAAAAATTGTAAAAAGTCTCCATGTCGGGACTTATCAATGCATTCTCGAGATCGTCATACAGAAGCACCCTCATCACATATTCATCGTACTTTATCCTGGTAGATCCTTTCCCAATATTCTTGACCATATTAGACATCTTAATCAAGCTTGAGAAACGACCAGATCTGCTTTCTACGTTTTCGGTCCTTATCTCATGAAGGCTCGATACATTCGGTGCGGATCCACTTGCATCCCTTGCAGCACCGGGGTCGGTAGCTGCAGCAACCTCCTGTGTCCCAAAAGAATAGTCAGAGGCGCTTATGGAGCATACTAGAAGGAAAATTGATCTGGTGATTCGCATTAAATTTGTGGTTTCAATATTTTTGATTTATCTAAAGAATTGTTTCCACCACGCTATTGGTCTCAGAATCTGGTTTTTGTTGCTAATGAGGACATTTTTTGGGAGCTCTATAACCTATCACTTACTTTTTTGGTACTTTATGGAACCTTTGTATCAGAACATATCCCATATATTCCGACCGCAAAACATGTTCTGGTGCCTCGGCGCGCTACTTTTGATTTACGAAGGGGAATTCAAGTTGAGTCAAAGTCGAGTTTACTATGCGATGTACCTATAGAAGTCCTAAAAAGACTGCCGCACGACCTCTCTCCTTCTCTTACAAAGTAGTTCTTTTCATAGTTGGCTTGCATGACATTCAGCAAAATCGAATACCCAATGCAGGAAGGCATCAAGCTGCCACGCCATTGAGGTAAACCTTTGAACCTTCTTTAATCAAACTATAGAGGCCCTCATTAATCAGGCTAAGTACGAAAGATATGGGACGGTGTGACCACACAATGGTGTGGCTACACGTTGACAAGTACAGAGTGAAAACAATCGTTGTATTTACTCGAGCGTGTTTATTTTGATATGATAAATGTTTATTGCAATATGTAGTTACGGACAAAGCAATTACTATTGGGGCGGGAACTGCTAGTAGTTATGCATTTCAATTAGGTTTTACTATTTAATGAGGAAATCCTATAGATTTAGATGTAGGCGGTTCCGCTGCAAACAAACAAAAAGAAATACAGGTTCAATTTTGAACCGAAGGGTGTATTTGCTTTGGGTTAAAGTTTTGGGTACTCTTAGAGGTAGCGGTTTGCGATCCGCTACACTTGCACTGGTTCTAGTATACAACGTAAGGTCGGTGACCTTAGTAAGCTTCCTCTAAGCAAAGAGCTACGGCAGCCTGGTAGCACTTGTAGTCAATCGACACCTGAGTCGTTACGACTGATCCTTTGTGAGGGTGGAGAAGTTCCCCATTTTGCCCCAGGGCATGCTGGACGTGCTTAGAAAGCTGATGTCTCTGCTTGGCCCTAAGTGCGAGTAACACCTTGCTTCACAAGGACCTGAAGCGATAAACGCGCGCAGAGGCGTTTTTTAAGGTACGAAAATGCTTTTGCTAGAGCACCTACAGCAAGAGATGTCGGCGTCGACTGTATCCATGACGCAACCGTCGATACAGATGACTCCTCCCGACCAGGCCGCTCATGGCAAGCGTTCAGACATTTGAGTGTGAGGATGGAGAAAAGCTTCTGCTCTGGGTGAGAGATACCGCGATGGCTATAGCATATACCATGCTTCAGAACAAGCAACAGCGCATTGCGCCAGCTATCTCTAAGCTCGGGAGTCGAGTGCGAGAATTGGCACTAAAGCGCGGTACTTTTTTTGAATCGGCGTTCCCATCCTGGAAGGAGCTGCAGCTTTTGCGAGTGTTCTCGCCGCCTTATGATGCATAACGCGTGCGACAGTGTTTCCTTGTTACCCGACAGGGGGCAAGAATAAGTTGGCGGACTTTGTTCAAGAGTTGAGAACTCTGATTGTCGGAATGGCAGCCGATCCTCTACCCGAGGCTGTCACAGTGACAGTCACATGGAAGTTCTCCGCACTGGCGTGGCCAGAATTGATATTTTCTGTGGTGCATCCATCTTCTTCTGAAGGAGCCGTAAATGTGGCATTGAAAACTGAATTCAACTTTAAGTCGGCACGACTTATGTTGGATTTCACAGCCTCATAACTCGTCGAGCGGGCCTGAGCCAATAGATCTCAGCTACGCTGAGAAAGAGGGGGCAGAGAGTCGAGTTGCTGGACAGCATGTAAACACCCGACGGTGTTTTGTCTGTGGGGATGCCAATCATCTTCGGACTAATTGTTTCCTACGCAAGGCGCATCAGGTTTCATCGCGGAGAAACAAAAACACTCAGTAAACGCGGGGCTCCCTACTGGAGGAGAGGCAGCTAGGGCCTAGCCCGAAGAGCTCCGTGCTCTTAAACACGGAACGCGTATGCAAGCCGGATTTGCTGGTCGTGAAAGCGATAGTGAAAGGCTTTCAAAGGCCATGGAAGATCCCAATCGACTCCGGGGCGTCGAGCAACTATGCTCGACGCCCCACGAAAATAAGAAGTCACTTGTATACTGAGGCGCTGAAAGCGCGGGTTGAGTGACACCGTCTCTATTGCCTAGCGACAGAGACTTGTGTCACGGTGCCAAGCGTCCCTGCGGACCTCGGTGTCAAGTTTGTTGACCTCGGTAGCGTGGAATGCTGTGTAGTCTTAGACTTGGATGCAATGTATGACCTTATTCTTGGTTTGGCATGGTTGGAACACCATGAGCCATGGACTTGTTAGCGGTCGACGACCTTGGGCGCTATGCGCACGTCTCCTGGTGGAGCTTCGTCCACAGTCGTGTGGAGCACGGGAAGACTGATGAGGAGAACCATATCGTCCGTTCGAGAGCGGTGCTCGAGTGCATGCGCACGAATACACTGTATGTTAATGCAGATACGTGCGCCGAAGAATTTTCTTATTGGGGTGATTCATTGGTAAGCGTGGCATTCGAGCAGATCACACTAAGTTCAAGGGATTTGTGGACTGACCGGTTCCAAAGAAACATCAAACTTGCGCAATAGCTTGGCCTTGCCAACTACTTGCATAAGTATAGCGCGAATCATGCGGTTTAGCATTGTCGAATCTCCTTAAGAAGGATAAGGAATGGTGTTGGGACACCAAGCATCAGAAGGCTTTTGACAGGGTCAAAGACAGCCTCTTCATGCACGTATACTGGCGTTACCAGACCCCGAACGCCCTTTTACTGTCGTCTGAGACGTTTCAAACTTTGTCATCGGCTGTGCACTGCTGCAAGCAGACGCCGAGGGGCCAGATCGGGTGATCACGTAGGAATCTCGCCAGCTTAAGGCTGCGAAGAAGAACATTCCAATCCGTGACAAGAAGTACTTGCGATGAAGTATGCACTTGTCAAGTTCAGGGTGCTCCTGCTAGGCTCAAAGCCGTATGTGATCTACTCAGATCATGCGTCGCTGCGACTCGATCGCCTAGCCTCTCGCAGAGGATGGTCAGGTGGTGCTCCTTCTTTGCAGAATACAACTTCGAGGTGACGTATAAGCCAGGAAAGCAAGATGCTCTCACTGATGCGTTGTCACGCAGCCTAGATTATATGCTTGCTCATGTCACCACGGTGACGTCGTCTGTGACGGATTTGATCCGTGCCGCTTACGCGGGTGATGGTATGGGTGTGGCACTGTTAAACGCTCAGAAAGCTTTGGAAACTTGGACAAGAAGTTGTCGGCGCGATTGCGCGCACGGTTGCACTGTTATTCGTTGAATAACGAGTTGTTGTATTTTGGCACCGAATTGACGGATACGCCACGAATTGTGGCTACTCACGATGAGGGTTTGTAGTACCGTATCCACTTTGAGGCTCACGCAGTGGTCATCACGGTCGTGAGAAGACATAGAGCTCTATAAGTTGCCACAACTGGCGGCTCAAGCTGTACAAATAGACGAAAACATATGCGCGCACGTGTGAGACGTAGCAAAGGGTGGAACCCATTCCGAATGCGGTGGGGCCGCTGGCCATCTTACTGGTACCCTCCGGGTGTGGGCAGTCAATGAGTATGACCTATGTATTTGGCCTGCCAATGACTCGGCGAGCAACAAGGTTGCGGTAGTCTTTGTCGACAGTTTGAGCAAGATGGCTCATTCTGAGAAGCTGCCGGACACCACCGACGGTGTGGGTACAGCGACGCTGTTTGTGGCTCGTGTCTTTTGACAACATGGACTCACGGAGTCAATTGTCTCTGACAGAGACCCACGCTTCTTTAGGGTGCTGGGCATCAAGTTGACTATGTCAACTGCGGATCATCAGCGGACCGATGGTTAAACTGAGCGCGTGAATTGCGTCATCAAGGACGTCCTTTGCAGCGTCTGTGCTGAGACTCCGAGGCGCTGGGGAGTCAGGCACGATGCTGCCACTCGTTGAGTTTGCTCTGAACAATGCAGTAAATGCGTCTACTGGCTGCACGTCATATACGGGCTAGTTCACCTTCGCGTGCCGCTGAAGCTGCCCCCCTACGGATCAGGGCTTGTTGGGGGAGGGTTAGCCGAGCGGATCGTTGGTGTCAGCCTACTTAATGTGCGTAAAGAAGTCGAAGACTTTTTGTCTATCAGACTGATGTCCTACAACACGTTCGCGATGCGATGGCTGAAAGCCAAGACATGTAGCAAAAATATGCAGACGGAAGAAGTCAAGTAATGTTGAGAACTTTGAGATCGGAGACCTGGTTTTATTATATGCTAAAAATCTTCCTATACATGCTGTCTCTGCTGTCTTTCTGACAAAGCAACGTCCACGGTTTATCGGACCTTTATGCTCGTGGCCAAGCGGGGCCTTGGGTATACGCTAGATCTTCCGAGAAGGATGCGCACCGGCCCGGTCTTCTATGTGGACATGCTAAAGCCGTCCCGGAATCCAGTGCAAGTGAGCACGGAGGCGTCGACGCTAGGCACAGGTGCTCGACCACCCAGAAATTGCACCTGCAACTGGTTTTGAGCATGGAGTGCAATGCTTTCCGTTTTCAACGGCGCCAGCCGCTCCACCGTCGCACGAAAAGTCGCATTCGTCTGCTCGACGTCTGAGAGCCGCTCCGATAGAATTCGATAGACCTCAATGTGAGGCAGTTGGTGCACAAACTGTTTTCAGCCCCCGTAGTCTTCTGCTCAGCGATATGCGACCTCAGCATGATGCTCAGCGGAGCGCCGATGGCGTTGCACTTTGTTCTCAAGATCTCGAAAAGCCTCGCGGATCGCCGGGTGGCGATCAACCAAGTCGTGTCTCAACGAGAACGTTGGCGTCCACCATCACGTAAAGGCCTTGTTGGTCGACTTCATCGCCAGAACCAAACCTAGTATTCTGTGAAGTGGCGAGAATACCCTGACTCCAAGAAATCCTGAGAGTTAAATGTGCTTTTTCGGCGAGCCCGCCCAGACGTCTTAGACGCTTATGATCAGAACGATCAGACGCCTCGCATCATCCTACGCCCCGCGCTCCCCGGCAGCAGTCCGGGAAGCTGAAGGGCCATTAACCGGGTTCAAGCTATGGCCCTGAGCTGCTGTGGTCGTGGGCTCATCGGTGTAAGAACCCACAGAGCTCGCGGGAGAGTAATGGATGAATTGATATGTCGCAGGGCGACAATACGCAGGAAGTCGGCGTTGCGCCTTGAGTTTCGAAAACTCGAACCAAAGAAGGTGTTCCACGCGCACGTTCGATTCTTTGTGGCTCCGCTGTAATTAGACAGTGATAAAAGTTCCGCTTCCGCTGCACCCATCGTTAAAAAAATTTCTCATTATCTGCAGCGGTCTCGCCAGGGGCGGACACCATAGGGATAGTCCGCATTGCGGGTACAGGAGCGCCTCCTCTTTAAGCGCAAAGTCGAGCGCGGTACCTATCCATTTAGATTTCTTGAGGTGCCAAGAAGAAAGCTTGGAGAGCTTTCTTTTTGTCAATTTAAGCTTGTGTAGTCGCCGGGGGCCCGACAACGAAGACACCCAACGATCGATTGATCGCGTCCTTCGCTTTTGTAGCGGGTCCGCCGAGCGGAAGCCGTATTCCACACAAGGGTCAAGGATCGAACGTAAAAACGAGCGCATGAAAGCTGCCCTTTGGACAGAATCCAGCTGCTACCCCTGTGTCTCGTTGAGGCGATTGGTAATGATACCAGGTTCCCTGGAAGTCGAGAGGTCGGAAAACGGACACGGTGTCTGCAAGGCTCGAGCAAGGCTTACATTGCGCCGTTGGCGTTCTCCTCTTCTTCTCATGCTGGGATAGGAGGATCCGACTCGTAGTCGACCTTCTCCGAATCCTCGATGAGGAATCTGTCGCTCTGGGCGGGTGTGGTGTGTGGCGCTTGGTTACCGAGTTTTACAATTTAATTAGAAAGACCTATAGATTTACATATAGGCGGCTCTGCCACAAATAAACAAAAAACAGTTTCAATTTTGAGCGGAAGAGTATATTTGCCTTGGTTTAAGGTTCTGGGTAGTCTTGGGGGCAGCGGATTGCGATCTGCTACATTCGTACTCAGTCTAGTAAAGAAAATAAGATCGGTGACCTTAGTAAGCTTCCTCAAGCAAAGAGCTACGGCAGTCCCGCTGCACAAAGGCCGCCCTTTGTCTGCCAAAATGCTATTATGTACGTGCGGTTAGTAGTTACTCTTACGTTTAGCATTCCAATTCAGCGACATTGACCATAGTATTACCTTGACGACACCTGACAACGTGTCGTGGCAGTATTCATCCTGACTCAAAATAAGACACGTTATCACTTGCGAGGCAGTCTTCAGCTTGATTTCAGAGAAAGCACTATATGTTATTGCTGGTTATAACTTTTGGCATGCTTAGTACGATCCCGCATTCCGAGTACATGTATCACCCTCAATCAAATTTATGCTGTCGACATTAGGGCTGTGTACCATCTCATGATATCAATATGTTGCTGCTCTTTCGAAAGTGTTGATCACCGTTTTTATCTATATCGTCCTCTGTCTGGCGCTACAACGATATGACATTGAGGGGTTTCTATAGGTTACTGCTAAGTGAATGGTACGTCGAAACCATCTGGTGCTATTTGGCGAAAACAAAATCTATAGAAATGAGAATTGGTGCATCTACCAGCGAAACGGGATCTTGTCATAGACGCAATTCCAAATAAAAATTACAGAAAGGCAAGTTGTCTTATCATCTCATTGCTCATTAAATTCATTATCTGGTGTCAACTTGTGAATGCTCCCGCGGTTAATACCTGTAACATCGCGTGTCCAATTCTTTTTTTCGCCATTGGATATTATGACCTAGCACATAAATTTTGGCAACGGATCTTACAGGTAGCAGATCGCATCATCTCGGTTGCACACCTCTCGACACTGATATACTACTCTGAAAGAATGTAAATGCAGCTGGCACGCAGCAAAACAGGCGTTGTATAGGGTGCGAGAGGGCACCATAAATCCTTGATTCCTGTACTCCAAAATCAGATCGGCGAGTGTAACTTTCTCGACTTCAAATTAAACTATGCTTATTTGCAGACAGATATTAATGGTCATGAACGCGTGATAGCATTTGAATCGTCCCATCTTAAAGCGGCAGAGAAGAATTTACCCGTCTATAACAGAATTTACATGCAATGAAGCATACCTTAGGTGGCGGATGCTCAACAATGAAGTGTCGTACGTCACGATGATCACACCACCAATTGATGAGGCGATACGTACGGCATACGGGACTAAGGCAATGTGTGTTGCGTTGTTGAAAGCTTCTAAAGTAAGTAAATTCGGGCTTAGTTTTCATTTTATCGAGCCGTCCGGCTGCAAGCCGGCACCACTATGCATTATTTCAAAATTGCTGTATTACAGCACTGACCTGCATGGCATTCAGCGAAGGAAGTTTCCAAATGATGTGAACCTCAAGTACGGAAGACTATGCGGGGCAATAGATCCTCCTTGAGTGACCTCGGTAAGCGCACTGTGTTGCCTATCAGTCAGCAAAGTACTAGCAGTCCAAACGTACAGACTATATTTCCGGTCTTTCAGAAGACGCGTCTAGTAATACAAGGACTTTGTCGACCGTTTGAGAATACAGCCAAGCTTTGCCTCGAAAATGTGTTCCGCTGTTATGGTTTGCTGGTTTCCATTGTATTGGGTAGAGGTTGACGAATTACAGCGAGACTTTGGCAAATAAAATTTAAGGTGCTTGACGCCATATTAAATAAGTGAACCGCTGACTATCCGGAAACAGATGGGAAGTTCGAACTTTTGAACCGCGTTGTGAAGAATATTTGAGGCGTTTGCGCGATAACACTGGGGTTCTGGAGCTGGCTGCCCCCACCTTATTGAGTTTGTGCTGAAAGATACAGCATATGCCTTCAGGCTTACCTTCAATTCACAAAAATGGTTTGGAACACTCCTTATTTATTTGAGACTGCCATGAAAAGGCTCAGTGAAGGATTTGTCGATTAAAATCGACATTCTGATATCAGACATGTTAAACTTCGTTGCAGAATCAGCAAATTCAGCACAATGGGATTGAGCGTCATGCGCAGAGTACGCGACACTACGGCCGAAAGCCAAGATAATCAAAAGCAGCACCTTCACCCAAATATATTGTGGGGTAATACAGTTAATCGTATGCATTATATCAATCCATATTTGCTGTTTGTGCAGTCTATTAGACTAATTTGCATCGGGTATATATTAAATCATAATAGGTCAAGGCGAAAAAGGGTACCAACTTTATCATCCCGGAGAGAATGCTAAAACATTTAGTGTTCGATATGGACTGTCTGACACCATACCGAGATACCTTTCCTCCGAGCCAATTGGATGCGAAAAGATCTGCTGTAGAAGGAGCACCGTACCCACCATCTTCGATAGCAGCTCAGCTACCATTTGCTCCAATGCAACGACGAGATTCGGAACCGCTAAAATGCTTTAAGCTTGTCAGCGCGATAACGAAGCTCGGAAAGCGGATCTGACATATGGCTCATATCAGCCTCGGACGCACGTTATGACTCTCAAGGAGACTCAAAGCGCCGTTACAAAAGAGAGAGCTCACGAAATACAGCCGCAAGAGGGTCGACCTCAGCCATAACTGCAAGAAGAGAAGGGGTGATCCAATTTTACATAGATCGTTTGCCGAGCTGGCAGGTACATGGCTGTTACCAATGCCTGGTGAAGTGGGAGGGTTATTACAGTTCGAAACTCACGCAGCGAGTAACTGCAGAGATTTTCAACTATAGTCACGGCGAGAAGATTTGGGCAGGAATCGGCGTGACTCTTGCGCTGGGAGTAGAGCAAGCTGGGCGTTTCGAGCCGGGAGTTACATGTCAACAATGAGTGAAATATTATGGTCAATTCCATGGTGAAGTGTCACAACACTTTCTGCCGATGGATTAGGACACGAAGTTTAGATTACGCAAAGATTGGAGCTGAGCACCTTCTCGGCAAGAGACAAGGCTGCGTATTGACGAGTTAGGGTGGAGTGTCTTGTCAAGACTAGTAGACTCGCTGCGATCGTTTTAACAAAGAGAACTTCGGACCCCTCACTAAAGGTTTCTTTCAGACCGTCAGCCAAAAAGGCTGCGTTCTTGGGGGCTCATTAATCCAATTGTTTGGTGTACGGTAGAAAGCTTTCGGTGAAAGTGCGTTTTATAGCCCAATCATGGTAGAGTGCAACGAGTAGAGTTTGACTTCATGGCTCGTGATGTCTTATAAAGACAAAATAAGTATGATCTACGTCATATTGGAAATGGATTCATCGAAGCATGTACGTCCAGCTTCTGAACTCACACTTTCAGTACAATTGTAACAAATACAGTAATATAAATTATACAAATCTCACATTGTCCTTTTGTATATTCATAAGCACTAAATTTTAGCATTGATAAAGATCTGTGAAGTAGGGCTCATGACTGACAATAACTAAATATATTTTAGAGAGATAATAAATTCATATATTTGATATTTGTAGAAATAATCTGAATAGATTGAATGCTTAATATAAATTGTTTTTAAATAGTTGGACTGACTAGACCATTATTAACGGTGAAAGTTTTCGGTTCCTCTTCTGGTTGGAGAATACGAGCATAATTCGTTAATGAAGCCCTTAAAGTTCACTTTTTCTCTGTGCAATATGCACAGCCAATGTTGCAACTGCGAAGGGGCAAGCAAGTTTGTCAATTTCAAGTCGTTTGTCGTTCTCCCCAACCAAGGTAAGAGACTCATTTAATTAATTTGACAATAGAAATTAAACTTTGACACAGTCGTTTGTGAATGAGTTGAGCAAGCATAGCAAAGCATTCGTTGAGTTTCTAAGCGGGCTTCACTGCCAGGTACAAGCTTACCAAATCTTTTCAGTGATGCTATATGCTTCTATATACCTGCCATTCGATGATCTTATAATGCAATTGTTGTTTAGATGCAGAAAATGATGTAGAGATTTTTTGCGGTGGTTTATTGTTCGAGAATTATGGAGCTCGCACTTCGGAATTTAAACAGTTGATCAGGTCACCTGGTGCATGTGATTTAACTCGATGAATCCGACTTCAACGTTCATGCCTTTTTTATTTCTGCCTAGAAAACCCGTGAATATAACGTGAAGTAAAAATGCTACGTTTGCACCAGCATCCATATATTTTCTGGAAGGCGCAATCCTGAAGATGGACATTCCAGCCAAGGTTTCTAAGCAAGCACTCCAAGTCCGGCACGCAGTCGAGTTAGCCCTGTTTGAAATACTTGTACACCTATTTATGTTTTAAGAATGTATTTGTCATTTGAACAGCTTAGAAAGAGCATTGGAAGCGAAGGAGACACACGAGAGGATGCTTAAATGGTAAGAAATTGGGACTCAATGGCTCAAAAGGTTAAAAAACTTTCGAGTCGCTGAGCTGCCATATTCCGCACTCGAAACGCCTACCGCTTCTGTCACCGAGACATTTTGGTCTAAATCAAAACCTGTGTGACAATGAGTGCATCACTCGGGACTAACACCGTCTTTTCACCCGCTACGTAAAGCGTAATTATTTTTTCATTGAATGAACAGTCCATGTTACAAGTTTTCGTGGCGCAAGACACGAGCTTGAATAATTGTACAATCATGAATTCTACTTCTGTGTTTGGTACAAGAACGAGATGTGGTTAGAACTACAACGTCGGGAGCGGTATAAGTGGGCAAGCGGTAAGAAATAATTTTTAACGCTTGTCCTCAGATACAACGAAGTAAGTTGACGAAGATACCGATTTGACCCGTCGAATGCTAATTGCTATCCCTCCTCTTACACCCAGTGGCATGTGACAGGCTTCGCATATTATACGTATACACATCACCTTCCACATGGTTCGTAAATCCTTCCTGGATTTATTAGACTTTGCTGGCTACGCTTCACTTGATAAACCTACAAAAGTTGACAAAACGTACAAAACTTGACATAATTTAGGCCGGTTGTCGATTTTCGGTTACCTGTGTCAGAAGATAGTGAATAATCCTGGTATCTCAAACAGCTGTTGTCTGCGAGAAGTCGCATAACTTGAGATGTTGGCACGGATGCACTGATCACATCTTATAAGAGCAACAGATGTTTCAAAGCCGACGCACCCAAGACGTCAAAATTTAAGACAAACATATGACAGCCTTTTTCATAATTTTCTTTAAGCTTTTTCATGACCGTCTAGATAAGTTGCTGCGCTGGAAAATGTGACGTACATCAGTATTTGGCAGTGGAATGATAACGTTCCTTTTCTGACTCTGACGTAGAAGAGCCGGATCCAAACACACATCATTTTTGGTTGTCTTTGAGAACGATGCCTTCACGCGGTCATATGTGCAGGACATTTAGACGGCGATTGTGCCTGGATAGATCGATTCTATTACAATTTTCAGCTTAACAAAAGCTACCTCTCATAATTCTCAATAGAAAATCTAATTTGCATCCTAGGCTATCGCCCGGCATGGAGATACAATACAGAACCAATGATTGAATTGCTATAACGTCTCTTACTTAATGACGTACCATGCTCCTCGGATTTATGCAAACGAACGATCTAAGAGCGCCTCGGAAAAGGGACAGACGTGATGACTATGCTACCATCAACTTTGCCGAAATTCTTGTATTCATCTACTACTGATTGATCGGTATAATCAGCATCAGCCATTTTGCCACCGTGAATTTGTTCGTAAAGTTCATCTGATGGAATGTTTCTGGACCTCCATTTTCCAAAAAGCAATTCTAAGAGTGGAATGTCACACGGTAACAACCTTGCTGGGTCGTTTTCTATGCTTGATCCGACAGCCAGGCGTGCTAGATCCCACAAATCCCCTGCCTTTACATAGGGTTGCGTAGGATTCAAGAGACTAATGTAGAAGCTCAAAGCTTCCAGCTTGACATCTAGAAATCTATTCATGGGATTCCTGCTGAACTTCAAAAAATCAAAAACTACTGATGTATCGTGATTTTTAGAAAGCCAAAATTTGATTTGCTCGTGCTGCATCATCGTCGCAAATTCACTCGTGGCAGGCTCAAGCTTCGCAAGTGCAAGTGCCACTGTCACTCTTGGTATTGGAAAAGAAGTTTGAAAATAATCAATAGCAATATAATTTTCACTTGAACCGCTTTCAGTATAGTATTTATGAGCAATCTCCACTTTTCCGCTTGTCAATGCTTCAAGTGCGTCGTTGCCAAATTGAAGTCGATTCCACACCGCCAGCTCTGTTTCTCCATGCCACGTGCGAAATAATGCTGATTCCAAACCACTCACACTCTCGTCGTTTACTCCAGATAACTTTGCTTTACTCATTTGCTTCACAAAGTTTCCATCCCCACCAAATTTACTTATCAAAAACTTGACAAGCTCGTCATCGACGTGGTCACTGACTTGATCTTTATACTTTTTGCGGCCAAGCGATAACATGTACTCCTTCAGCTCGTCGAATTTTCCAGCTTGTATGTCAGTAGTAAGATCGTCGCCGAAGTGCAACAGATCAAAAACTTCGTCGATCGACATTTTTGTTTTTAGCCACTCTTTCCGTCGTATCTCTTGCGAAAGATGCTTTATCATTTGCTGATTATACCCATCATTCTCAGCTAGATTACCAAGATCGTTCCGCAAGTTGTTGGATCCATACTTTTGTAAAAGTGGCTTGACTGCCGAAAGTTGTTTTTTCGCTCTGTTTTCACGATTATGGTTCATGCACAAGTTGTACAAAGCCTCCATCTCGTTACTTTGCAAAGCTTTTTCGAGATCATCATACTGACGCACCTTCTTCGCGAGATGATTGTACTCATTTCTTTTCATGAGCTTCTCGATCATTTTAGAAATTCGACCTCTCTCTTCGATATCATTGATCTTTGTGTCATCAGAACTCGATAGAGTCGATTATAGTGACTCACATCGTTGACATAGTTACCAAGGTCGACAATGTTGTCAGCTGCCGCTGGATTCGAGAAGGTAGAGTGGACAGTAGGACGCTTACAAGGACGAAAATTGACATTGAGAAAATTGGACAATGTAATAATTCATATGGCATCAGAGCCCTCTTTAGACCAGCCATTTGCCTATTTTGCCTAATTAATACCATATCAGGCACCAATTCGTTAAGAATTCTAAACTCATTTTAGCAATTGTTTAACCTCCGGAACCCATTATTTCGACAATTGACTGCTTTTATTGTCTTCAATTGAGCTGATTGCACTGCAAGTAGCTCTGATGAGAGGTCAGTTGAAAGTTGCTATGTAATATCGTAAAACACGGCTATACCAACTCGGCCCTGACTAAGATATTACATTGCTTCATTCCGCTGAGCTATTTTTTTCTTGATTTTAATTCTTGATTTTTCTTGTACGAATCGCCATCCCGAAGTCCTT